AGTGTATGTGCAAAGTCCTGTTTACCTGAGCACAGGGGGAACCAGAACAACAGCAGACAGCTTGCTTACTCACAGCTCCAAACCTCTTTACGCAGCATCCCCCATAACCTCCTCTTTAGGCTTTTCTCAGGGTTGTGCTACCACCTGCTTATTCAGTACGTGTCTCCTTTTCTGCTTTTTCTGTCTCTCTCCTGTGCACAAACCCTTACCCAATCAATGCCCCTTGAAAAACCACTCTCACCAAGTCATTTGAATCCCTGAGTGGGATTGGGTGTGCCTTTGTCTTGGAGATCACTATGGTTTCTTACATTTAACCTGAAGGAAAGGAGACAGTTTAAGGGAGTTTCTCTTCAATGAATTCAAAGAGGTCAGAGCCAGAGGGTAAAACTTTCAAAAGCATTTAAGTGACTCAAGTGGCTAAGTCACTTTTGAAAAGGGATTTAAAGTCACTTGAATGCTTTTGAAAATTTTACCTTTTGGCTCTGACCTCTTGCTTTCATTGAATATGCCAAAGCATTCTCCTTAAGACAGAAGGCATCATCTCTGAAAAGGGGAACAAAGACGACTCAGGGAATTATAGACCAGTAAGCCTATCTTCAATACCTGGAAAGATACTATAACCAATTATTAAATAATCAGTTTGTAAGCACCTATAGCAGTGTTTTTCAAACTGTGGGTCGTGACCCACTGCTGGGTTGCGGCATGTAAGACGCTGGGTCGGCTTGCTCTTGTCAGCACCGCTGACCAGGATGTTAAAGGCGGTGCTGCCCAACTAAGGCAGGCTAGTGCCTACCTTTTCGGACACGACGCTGTGCCCTGGAAGTGGCCAGTAGCGGGTCTGGCTTCCAGACAGGGGGGGCCCTCCACACATTGCCCCTCCCTGAGCACTGGCTCCACACTCCCATTGGCTGGCAACCAGCCAATGGGAACTGGATCCCCTCCCATACCCCAACCCCCTGCCCCAGCCCTGAGCCCCCCACAAACCCAGAGCCCCTCCTGCACCCCAAGCCCCTCATCCCGAGCCCAGAGCCCTTCTGTACCCCAACCCCCTGCCCCAGCCCTGAGCCCCCCAAACCTGGAACCCCTTCCTGCACTCAAAACCCATCACTGGCCCCACCCCAGAGCCCTGCCCCCTTCCCGCACCCCAACCCCCTGCCCCAGCCCAGAGCCCCCTCCCACACCCTGAACCCCTCATTTCCACCCCCACCCTGCAGCCCTCACGCCCACACCCCAACCCTCTGCCCCAGCCCTGAGCCTCTCCCACCCTCCAAACCCCCCATCCCCAGCTCCATTGCATCGCTGGCATCAATTTTCTTCAACTGGGTGCCCAGAAAAAAAGTTTGAAAATCACTGACCTTGAGAATAATAGGGTTATAAACAGGGGTGAAAGTAAGTTGAGTGACTTACCGGTACGCTGGGGCCACCTCTGGCCCCTGGAAGGGGCGGGGCCTAGGGCGAAAGGGGCGGTGCTGAGGGGGTCAGAGCCAGCCCCAACCCACCCTGTAAAGAAAGTGCCCTCCCCTCCTTCTCCTCCTCCTCCCCCCTCCCCGGGGTAGCAGCAGCAGCCCAGGGCTCCGGGGCTATTTAAAGGGCCCAGGGCTCCCCTGCTTCTACTGCCCCGGTCCTTTAATTAGCTGCCGGAGCCCTGGGGAAGTGGCGGGGCTACAGCGGCTATTTAAAGGACCGGGGCAGCAGAGGCAGCTGGAGCCCCAGCCCTTTAAATAGCCCCTGTAGCCCCTGTTACCCCAGGGCTCTGGGGGCTATTTAAAGGGCCTGTGGCTCCCCTGCTTCTACCGCCCTGGTCCTTTAAATAGCCCCCGGAGCCCTGGAGTAGAGGTGGCGAGGTGTGGGCCAACTCAGGAAGAATGGAGATCTAGGGGTCTTACAGTGATATGTGACCATGTCACATGAAACTGGAATGCATCTTAATCCTTGTACTTTTCCATTGATGAGGCAGGGGTAGGGACAAGCACAGACAAAAGATTCCCGCCTTCTGCCAAAGCTATAGAAGGAGGTGGAGCAGGACAAAGGCGGCAGCCAGTCATGAGAGAACTCCTGCTTACAAACTCAAATGTCTGCTGGAACTAACAAGGATGGTACCAGGGGAAAGGATTGGGCCCAGACTAGGAAGGAGTCTAGTCTGTGAAAGAAGCTTATTGGAACATCTCTGAGGGTGAGATATTACCTGTAAGAAGTTTCTTAATGTATTAGGCTTAGACTTGTGTGTTTTTGCTTTATTTTGCTTGGTGACTTACTTTGTTCTGTCTATTATTACTTGAAACCACTTAAATCCTGCTTTTTATACTTAATAAAATCACTTTTGTTTATTAATAAACCCAGAGTAAGTGATTGATACCTGGGGGAGCAAACAGCTGTGCATATCTCTCTATCAGTGTTATAGAGGACAGAAAATTTATGAATTTACCCTGTCTAAGCTTTATAAAGAGTAAAATGGATTTATTTGAGCTTTGGATCTCATTGGAAACTGGGTGTCTGGGTGCTGGAGACAGGTAACCTGCTGAGCTATTTTCAATTAAGTTTGCAGCTTTGGGGGCACGGACCCAATACGTAACACCAATATTTAAGAAGGGCTCTAGAGGTGATCCTGGCAATTACAGACCGGTAAGTCTAACGTCAGTACTGGGCAAATTAGTTGAAACAATAGTAAAGAATAAAATTGTCCGACACGTACAACAACATAAATTGTTGCACAAAAGTCAACATGGTTTCTGTAAAGGGAGATCATGTCTTACTAATCTATCAGAGTTCTTTGAGGGGGTCAAAAAAACATGTGGACAAGGGGGATCCAGTGGACATAGTGTACGTAGATTTCCAGAAAGCCTTTGACAAGGCCCCTCACCAAAAGCTCTTACATAAATTAAGTTGTCATGGGATAAGAGGTAAGATCATTTCATGGATTGAGAACTGGTTAAAAGACAGGGAACAATGGGTAGGAATAAATGGTAAATTTTCAGAATGGAGAGGGGTAACTAGTTCCCCAAGGGTCAGTCTGTTTATTCTATTTATCTATTTATTCTGTTTATTCTATTTATGCCACCTGTAATATTAACCATGGAATTATTACATCACACTATTACAGACAGTTTTACAAGTTGTATTTAACTGCCTATATAGGTATTTAGATCTTGGAGTCTGCTGTATTGATAGTTATGTTGCTGTTCTTTTAGAAGCTACTGTATACATAGTAAAGTAAAGCTTCAGTACCTTCTCGCCAATTGAATAATTTCTTTAGCTGCAGCGGTGGCCTCTGGAATCTACCCACACAGCTAATTCCTGGCCTAAAATTAGAACAAAAAATGTAGTGTACTATTGTTGGTGCAGAATAGCAACTCTGGTTTCACCTGAGAAGTCACTGCATTTTACTGGTACGTAATGTGATTTCTACATATACAGGAATGAGTTCTGGACTCCTTACTTCAGCAAAACTCTCACTGCTTTAAAAACAAACAGGACAAAGAAAGTGATTGTAAGTCTTGATATTTTGTGATAAAAATACCTTTAATATTAGTCTGTAATATTGCATTATACTTGCTCTTTACTCTTAATATGTAGCCAAACCTACCAAGAAGTATCTCACATAGTAATAGCAAGGAAATGCAAAAAAGATCACTTCACCAAGATTTTTTCCTTCAATAGCATTTGATTTTCTATACGTCTTATTTAAAGCATCCCAAAACACCTCTAATAGCAGGAAGTTAAATTCTAGTAGTGCAGCTATTGCCAAAATCCACACAAGCATTGTAAATAAGTATTGCTTTAAAGTCTTGGCCCCAATTCTAATTTCTTGTATACAAGAGTAACACCACAAGGAGTTACATTAGTTTTCTACCAGTTGAAAGCACAATTAGGCTCAAAGTCTTAAAATTGGTCCAATTTGAAGTCATTTCTCAGTCAACACAACAAGTCCCTAGTAGTAAATCCCAATATACCACAGGCATTCAGACAGTATAGTGATTTAGACAGATAAGAAGATTTATTTTCTGCAGAAAGATTACCATTCCCCAATCTAAAATACAGTGCAGCCCCTTTGAGGTGGTGCTCTTGGAAGAAGAGCAACAATGACCATATGCTTTACAAACATCTCCCATGTGAGCTGGTTTAAAGGGATTAGCACTGGTGTCCAAAATGGCCATCTGCCACCTTCCCAATGGCCTCAGAAACAGCCTCACATGCAGAGCCCACCTGTTGTGATCCAAAGAAAGGAAGTGAAGACCCAATGAAAGAACTCATGTTCTGGTACTATAGAGGTTAGGAATTTGGGATTCAGAGAGCAGAGAAAAAGGGATAACGCTACAGTGAATTTCTGCCGTTTCCAGCATCTAGCGTCCTTTAGGAATATATCTAATATTAGTCTAATCAGTTTCTGTTTACACCTTGGTTTGACGAAACACCTGTACACATTAATTAGCTTATTAATAAAAACCATAGAGCATATAAGCATTCTGCTAAGCTTGCATTTTACAAGCTTAGATCTTGTTTGACTAGTAATGGGCATATGGCACTGGGATCATAATTTAGGTTCCCTACTCATCTTACTCCTTCGCTTTGAACAACAGTGTTTGAGGTTCAACATCATTAGTAAATGTTAATCCACACTGGGCAGTAAGGAGCTTCTCCTAAATTGCATTCACAACACTTTATTTAAAATTTACATTAAAAAAATATTCCAACTTTTATTTTCAAAGGTTTCTAACTTTGCAACAAAATTAACTCTTGGTTTAAATTTTAGAATACCTTGCATGGTAGGGAATTAAACATACAATAAAAAATTTATTTAATAAAGAACACATTCAGGGGTTTTTTTAAATATAGGCTCTGTTATTAAGCCAATATTCTCTTCACTTTTAGGAAACAGAAATATGTTACCTTTTTTAAAATCTTACAAATTTCTAGGAACCTTAGTTCTTAAATCTGGGCTAGTTAAATTGGAGTATTTTTAAAATACCAAGGAAATGATGTTAAAAGAAGTAGTCACTCACATGCAGTAAGATCTTCTGCAAGATTGTAGCTCTGGCAGTTTTGCAGCTCTTGAAATCCACTCAGTTGAACAGCAGATTTGTTAGCAGTAAGGATTCAGTGGGACTCTTCTCAATGGAGCACAATTCCAGGGAAAGGATGGGGTTCAGTACATTCAAAATCCTATAAACATACATACATACATGTGTAAAACATTCATACAGAAAAATAATTCAGAAGAGTATAAAATGATACAAGAATTAAATGTCTGTGGCCTTTATCCTGCAAGCTATTCTGTGTAGCTGGACCTCAGAACCTTTGCAAAACTCGACTGAAATCAATGGGTGTCTGTTTATGCAGAACAGCTTGCAGGATCAGGGCCCAAAATAGACCAAGGGGAAGAAAGAACAAAGTTCCAGAGTCAAAGAATCATGAAGATAGAATCTTTCCTTCAGCCTCCTTTCAAGCCAGGGGCTGTTTGCTTAAAAGCCTTCACTCATCACAACCAATGTCATCTGTAGAGCCAATAAACAATGGCATAATTTTCTTTAGTACAGTATCATCATGTTGTCTACTCTAAGGGACAGGTTGTTTATATAATTAACCAGGGGTCTGGGTGTGACAATGGGAGCACATTATCTTCCTGTCATTTCAATCAAACAATCAGATCCTCATATGGCCAAAAAAAGAAGAAAATATGAAATAGCTTAATTTTAACCCAATTATTCTAGGCTTACATAGTAAACAGTCCTATGTCCTCTTGTTTTGGCATGTTTCACCTATACTTTTAAAACTTTTCATTTTGAAATGTATGGACTTTAAGTTATCAATGTTCAACTTACCCATGATTTGAAACCAAACTACCCTCAGGAAATGCTGAGCAAAACTTCTCAATTTTCGAAACACACACAAAACAAACAAAACCACCACCACCACCACACCCCACACAGGTGGTAGTGGGGGAGAACAGTCAATTTTTAAACTTTTTTTCCCCAATCCAGTTCTACTTTCAGATAAACAGTTGGGCTCTGGGGGGAGGGAAGGGTGTGCAGGTATCTGAGCCGGTGGGGGGGGGGGGTCATGGCTGGGCTCTGAAGGGGAGGGGATGTGGGTGTCTGGCCCCCTCGGCTGGGCTTTGGGAGGAGGAAAGGGGGCAGAGAAACATGAACTGGATTATCGTAGGGGTTTCTTTAACTCTCTACTCCTGGAGGAGTGGGTGAGAGAGAGAGTGTGTGTGTGTGTGTGTGTGGTTGGTATTCTGAAATAAGTTACCAAAATAACTGAAACCGGTGTGATTATGTAGTGTAATTTTGACAAAATGTATTTTGCAGACTTTTTAATTTTTTGGCGCAGAATGCCCCCAGGAGTAAAGGTTGTATTTTCAACCTGATATGACAATGAGCACTCTCGCTCTTTCTCTCTCTCTCTCTCTCTCACACACACACACACACATGCTTCTCCCTAAAAGTGTGTGTGGTGGTGGGGAGTGTCAGTAGGCAGATTAAAAAGCATGTTTTGTTTTGTTTTAAATCTCTGTTGTTTTGAGTCTGACTCATGCTTTTTGAATGCTGGGGGCTGGCAATACTGAAGTTGGTCTATGTGAGCATTAGAGTTCACTTCCACAACCTCAACTTCACATCCATTATATTACACTGGTGCTTACAGCTTCTACACAGATCAGAATCCCGTGTGCTAGGTACTCCATCAAGGTAATTTGTAAGATCTTCTGGGAAGATATTATGTGGTCTAATTAGGAGACAAGTCACAATAAATGACAAACAAAAGGGAGTCAAGAGGATTGGGAGGAAAATTTTAAATGGACAACCAAGGTTACATAGGAGGAATACAAACTTCCTAACTTCTCTTGAACTGAAAACAATGGTATTCCTTAGGTTCTAATACTACAATTAAAATACTTACATGTTTGTCCTAGCTATCAGGATCAAACAAATTTGTCCCTAATAGACACGTTAGCGCATCAAGAATGAATTCATTTAAACTATGTCATAGTAAAGAGGATTAGAGATGCAGCACTCATTCACACTATTTACAGTACCTTAGAGGAAACAAAGCAAAAATGAATTACCGCATTATTACTAAGGTGCCACAAGTACTCCTCCGCATTATTACTGCAATCTATACCAGAAGGCTTTGTAACAAAGCTTCCTGCCAGCATAAACCAAAGACAGCAAGATATCAAACTTGGCAAATTCTAAAACTCCTATTTTAGAAGGCTCAGGAGATAAAGATACAGGATGATAAAGAACTCCTAACATATTGCTTGGCTTACCTCTTATATCCTTTGATCCCCCCACCCCCCCACTTCTCTATTCTGTAAAACACCAAACTAAATGTACTTTATTTATTTTAGTGGAGTGGGATCCTCCCTCCGTACGACATGTATTTCACATAAATTAAGGCTATGTCTACACTGCACTTTCATCAGTAAAACTTTTATCGGTGAGGAGTGTGAGAAAAAAACAAAAACAAAAAACCACACACACACCCATGACCAACAAAAGTTTTACCGACAGAAAGCGCCAGTGTTGACAGCCCTTTGTCAGAGTTGGTGGTGGTTTTATTTTTTGCCAACAAAGCGTGGCTACACTGCATACCTTACAGCGGCACAGCACGCAGTGCAGAGATAATCAAAATGACATTTGGGGTGGGGGGAAATGCACAACAGTCCACAGAGCAGTGTAAACAAGGTTGTAGTCTCAAATATTAATCTCACTCATAACTGATTTTTCTGTTCTATTTCCTGGAGGACAATAATCTCCTCTCTAACCTAGTTATCATTGATTATTTAAAAAAGCAGCTAAGACCTTTGTTTGAAATAATGTTGGTACATATCCATAAGGTTGGGATTAGCCAAATCCTACTTTAAAATATATATCACAGGATCATTACATCCACAAACAAAGAGTTTCATACCAAAATAACAATCATTTTATTTTGTTGCTTTCAAATGTGCACCCCTGAAGAGCTTACACCACTGCTTGTAAGGCAAATTAACCAGTTAAAAGGACCAAATTCTAACGCTATGATCCTTTGATGTCCAACTATATTTGATTTAAAACATCTGATTAAGAAAGGGAAAAAGGTCAGTTTGGGCAATCACAACCGCCACGGAACAAAGACAGGGGAACACCATGTAGTTACTTGCAGCTCAGTCCATGTCAGAGGTTAAGCATGTACTCATTCGCTCTTGGCTGCAGTGTCATCTGTCCTGGAAACACACACTTCTGCTTGGCTAAATGCCACACCAGTGGCTCTTTCAAATGAGGACTGACATCCAGTTATATTCACACACATCACAATGAAATAGTGCTCAACCCATCAAGCATCACTATGTCTATACCTACTTTAAAGTGTTTGCTAGGTACAGTAGTTTGGATAGTTTAAGCCACTCACAGAGTGGACAAGACCAGGCCCCTCCCTGCCCATTAGACAGCAGCCCAAGCCAATCCAGGAAGCTAGGTGCCCCCTTTTGTCCTTGTGAGATAGAAGCGCCCCAGCCACCCTCCAGCCCCCTTCATGATCAGGCTAGGCCAGCACACCCCAAACACAGGAGGAGGAATTGCAGCAGTAATACGAGCATAGCCTGCCTTTAGATCCAGAGGTTCTTTCCACCCCATGACATCACCGGATGCTATACTTGGTAAACTACTCATTTCAGCCTGGTCATTTACTGAAGAGGGATGATGGAGAATGACTAGGTGTTGTTGTGTGGAGAGGGATGGAAACAGGAGGATGTTGAGTTGTGAAAGGAGGAGAGAAGACTGTGGGTTGAGGGTGTTATGTAAAGCCTCCGCTCAAATGCAATTGTAAGATCTGTAACTTGTATCAAGTTCTAAAACCTTTTTGCAGACTTTGTAACTTCAGTTATTGTTAGCATAGCATTTTAAGTTTTGTAACCTTTGCAAGCTTTGTAACTTTTTCAGTTAACACTTGTATGAACCTCCAAGCTTTGCAATATTCAGAGAGAGAGTGTGAACAAGGGAGTGTGTGTGGGAGATAAGGGAGTGTGAACAAGGAAGTGAATGTGGGACTGGGCAGAGAGAAACTGCAAAGAGAAAAGAGCCTGGAGACAGGAGACAAGTGTGTCTGATGTAGTCTGCCCTAAGAAGGCAAACATGGGGTGCTGTAAAGAAAAGAAGATGCATGAAAGGAACTGGTCTGGGAATGCTTCTCGGTGACGGACACAGAAGGAAAACTCAGTGTACGTGACAGGAGCCACTCAGTTCTAGCATGGCGATAGGCATGCACACAAGCCCCCTGCTTCTTCTTGACCTGCTCACCGGCCCGGATCCATGACCGCAGGCGGACAAACCAGATCTACCATGCTTCTGCTTCTCGGCTTCCCATGCTGTCTCCGGTAACTCTCCACCTGTGTAAGTGTGTGGGTGCAGGAGGGTATGAATGCTGTGAATGTGTGCATGTATGAATAAGCTCCATCCCTTTTCTGTCTAACTCAACAGCGGCATCAAAATAAAACTAATACAAGTGTGACCCTGGGTTGGTTTTTAGGGGAACAGAGGTAACAGAGGGCAATTTGGTTAAGCAGGATATTTAGTGGTATAAAATAATTAGGACCCTACCAAATTCACGGCTATGAAAAAGGCATCATGGACGGTGAAAATCTGGTCTTTTGTATGCTTTTACCCTATACTATACAGATTTCATGGGAGAGACCAGCATTTCTCAAATTGGGGGTCCTGACCCAAAAAGGAGTTGTGGGGGGGGGGTCATAGTAATGCCACCCTTACATCTGTGCTGCCGTCAGAGCTGGGTGGCCGGAGAATGGCAGCTGTTGGTCAGGGGCTCAGCTCTGAAGGCAGTGCTCCGCGAGCAGCAGTGCAGAAGTAAGGGTGGCAATACCATAGCATACCACCTTTACTTCTGCACTGCTGCCTTCAGAGCTGGGTGGCTGGAGGGTGGTGGCTACTAACTAAGGGCCCAGCTCTGCAGGCAGCAGTGCAGAAGTAAGAGTGGCAATACCAAACCATGCCATCCTTACTTCTGTGCTGCCGCTGGTGGTGGCTCTGCCTTCAGAGCTGGGCTCCTGCCAAGCAGCCACCACCCTCCAGCCACCGCTGGCGGCAGCTGAGCAGAAGGCAAGGGCAGCAGTACCACAACCCCCCATACAATAACCTTGCGACCTCCCCACAACTCCTTTTTGG